GCTCATGATTTTCTGTTAGAAAAATTTCGGCCCATGGGCTGGACTGGCCTGGGCTCGGTTGGACCAAGCCCAGCCCATGGTTTTCCGTTAAAAAAATTTCGGCCCATGGGCTGGGCCGGGCTGGACTGGGCTTGGCCCAGCCCATTAGGACCCCTGATATAGACATTACTTTCGCTACAACTATATTTCAATACTGTTAGATCATGATTAGGAATAAATAAATTGTCGCCACTCAAATCATACTATATTCAAGAAAAGTTTTAGTCGAGTCTCCCAGATGAAATCATTCATCGACTTTCTTGATTTTCAATCGAAAACGAGCTCGAAGAAGACGGTGTATATGTGAATGTGTGTGTAGGTATGACTGCAGCTGTGACTGTTTCAAATTGAAAAATCTACATCCATATCACAGCCACACATCCTAGTAATAGCAGATTGGATATTGTTACTATGCACTATGATACAAATGTTGTCAGTCTTTTCAATGCATACTGAGGATGTGGATATGAGCTTCTTCTTCATCCACGCAAGCAATCGATCCACACACACTCACACCTGTGCTCGCCAACACTTGCAACCGATACCCACATACACATTTACACATCCAATTTACACCCAAGACTAGAACTAAGACTGGTATCTGAATGATACTCTACATGTTTTCTGAATAACGCTCTTAGGTCTTGTATGGAACTCTAGTCCAATAAGATTATTTTGTTTGTTGTCTTGCACTGTGAAAAATGACGTACGCCAATTCTTTTAATCTTTTGACAAACATTAGAAAAGTTGAAATATTGTTTAAAGCTATTGGTACCAACAAACACAAAGTACTTGGTTTATTTGAATACAATTTTCCGCTGTATCAAGTCCATATCAGAAAAGTGTACATGGGCATATTATAGCTCTAAACCAGAGGAATAAAATGAGCTGATTGGACATGTATTTATTTCAAGTGGCATTGGAACTATACTAGGAATATTTGAGTTGGTATTGAAAGTGCTCATACTAGCTCTGCCCAACTCACCCAAAACGCCATGGCCATATCGGAACATCGAACCCGTACGCCGAGCTTCACAACCATAGCTACAGGCAAAGTCACCATCATATCCTCATTGAATTGCTTTTTCATGGATAACAACACTATACTACACCGATATCATTGCTTGTAGAAACTACTGACTGACCAAATGAAAAGTTATGGTGTGGTCTGTGAAGAAACAGTCACTGAATATTTCTCAATTTATACTGATTATCTCGATTGTGACGTAAGGTATTCTTAACATATTTACAGTGTTAACGTCTTTTTACTGCATGCAATTGCTCGCTTATATCTTTAATGTCGACTACAAAAAGATTGACTCAGAAAAGATAAGATAAGACAAATTTGTTTAGGTCATCATTGCAAGTGATAAAATAAAAATGAAACAAGACGATGATTTTGTATAAATAGCTATTGTAGAAAAAGGCCACTTTCTCCTTTGGATGCCTTTTTTTATGAGGCTCATCCAACCACTGAAAAAGTATTATTATGTATTCAAGCCTTTTTTTTTCAGTTTTTGATTACAACAACTTTCTTTTTATACTACGGTGATGATCGCGATCCATACTTTCATATTATTTGTCATATTCACATGCAGTTGTCTTGTTGCCCATCCTACGGTCTATCCGCATGTTGCCATGAAACGGCAGAAAAGCTATCGTGAACGTAGCCTTCCGTCTCCTCCTCCTCCTATCATCAGCTATCACATACATATCACGTATACTCTTTTCAATCCACCAGTATGTTTTCTACATCTTGATAATTATCAAACTTTCTTGTATCGCAATTTTAGGTCGTGAAGGAAGCGTTGGAACTTCATAAGGTTACACGTGAGCAGTTCCGAGATTATCTTGGTCCAGATTGTCCGGGAAGGTACGATTATGGATATTTATGCATGATCAACGATCATGTTATCGGTAACTACAGAACTTTTGTACGAACTTTTGGTACATTTTTGCATTCTTCTCTTATTTTCTTTTAGAAAATACAACTTTGATTGGTGGACCTTTCGTCAGTGGCGAATGGTCTATATTCCTTCCGCTTGGATATTATCCGGTCGTTATCCCATGGCTTCTACAAAACAGAGGTAACTCATTTTTCCTATAATTCTGAAATTTTTTCATTTAAAACATTTAGGCAACCTATCTATGCTCGTACATCCCAACACAGGGTATGAATATGAAGATCACAGTATATGGGCCATGTGGGCTGGAGAACAATGGCCTTTGGACATGTCTATTTTCGAGAAAGAGACGCAAACTAATGAATTCGGAGTATCTATAGTTTCTTATTTTGTTTATTGATTTTTGTATTTTATTGCTTGACATAGCACTATCCTGGTGATTCTGACAACCCAGTATGCCTTGTCAAAGGTGGTGTATGTGGCGATGATCAGCTTAGTCCTTCGGCTCTGTGTTGCTACGACCTGGCATGCAAAGCTGCTGAAATAATTCCCAATGGCGGCTCAAACTACACAATTCATAGATGTGCTTGATACATGCATACTTAATGTTATGTGAACGAAAGTGGACTTTGTTTTCTCTTCTGAATAAAACAGTATATAGAGCTTTAGTCATTCGAATTTTAACAAAATAGCCCATTGCAACTATTGGAAATCCAAGCAACACAATCGTTCTATCATTAAATAGGGAAGATATCGCAAATGATCTTCATAAATAGTAATTTTATTCATATTGAAATTTGAAAAACCTTAAGTAAAATTGTGTTCAATAACATTCTTAGAATGTTTACTGACACGTAGAAGTTGATCATTTGATCGCATAGTTTAATCGACGAGGCACTTGATAAGTGGCATATTGTGTGCATGATCGAATGTGACCTTCCTCCTTAGACTTCTATTATTTAGCCTAGTACAGACTCGGCTACTACATAAGGCTACGATTCATTGTGTACAGCTTCATGTACGCTCTTTCGTTTTTATTTTAAATCAATTTTGGACGGGCATCGGGATGTGAGATGTGAACTACAAATGATTTTTGACTCGTCATATATTATTGTCAAACTGGATGTTAGCAAGATATTTTAAGGTTTACACGCCCCACCGTAATGGAAAATGGTGTACAGGTTATTGTCATGCATTCATATCAAAGAATTATTAGTCACTGAGTCTGTCCGATTTAAATCAGTTACGTTATAGTTTATGGAATGAGCTGACTGAAACTATGAATTGAAAACTCATAACAACAAAACACAACATCGATAGATGAAATTAAAAGTGCCATCAAAAGAATTGAAAAAGAAAAAAATTTACATTCTGTCCTTGATTTTACTGTGTGATTAAGTTTAATTCAAACAATAGAGGAAACTATATTCGTTCAATAAAATATACCATTTTCTACATCATTTCAAGCGTTATCTATTGTTTAAAAGAAATTTTTCAATTAAATGAATAATAGAGAAGAAATATTAAAAATACTAATACTATAATTTATCCTGTGTCATCAGTTATTTTCACTATTTTTATGCATCATCTTCAAATTATCAATGTACATGATTAACTTTTTAGATGAAATATTTGGGATGATGAATGAGCAAGTGTTTTTTTTGTTCTACGGTTATGAATTGTACTCATGGTTCAAAATCAAAAGACAACGTACATCTAAATACATCATCTGGACATAATTGAATATTGCTATAGTTGTCAGTAGTGTTTGCAGACAAACTTTTGTAACATTATCCTTTGGCATATGTATCACTTAATGAACCTATAATACAGATCAATTGTTGTATAATTGGTTAAGCCTGTTTTACATATATAAATGAATCTTAATTATATTTTTAACCTGATTAACATATTTTTATACGCTCTTGATCTGATGAATTGTTATGAAAGATAATAAAGACACAGTGTTCACTACCTCCGTGATACATATCTATTTTAATAACTTTGAAGCGCAACAAGACACTAATTTAAATATTAATAAATAAATTCTGCTATAAACAACTTCAAGTTTAGGTTTTCATTTATAAACAATGATATTCGTTTTTCTTCTATGGTTCGGTACTGTGTAAAAGACAATAGTGTTAACTTTAAGCGTTCTTGTTTTGTTGATAAATCTATAATAATGTTCCAAGGAAATAAATACAACCCCAAGGCACTAAATTAAGCTCGAAGATGATGAAAAGGTGTTATCGAACCCATAGAGTTGTGTAAAAACCAGGTAGCTAAGAAAATAAATAAATTTTAGAGAACTTTACCAAACGTTTTGACGGTTGAACAATATGAATTTCTAGATATTTTGCTGAAGTTTTCCGGTTCGTTTTTATTTGTAACAGGAGGCATATTTCTTATGATTTAAATAAATTTAACAAAATTCAGCTATTATCTTGAAATAACCTTCTTCTGGAGGACTGGAGAAGCCAATCCTGACTGGCTTTCTACTCTGTAGTCAAGTTTAAAAAAAACCGAATTGTGAAGGTGCCGGTCCTTTTTCTCAGTACTATCAGCACCGCTACTAATTTTATGAAGGATTGACCTTCTTATTTCTTTTGTGAATAAAAGCTAGAAACTAGATATTGTGCCGTGAAAAACTTGTTGTTATCCTACTTTATGAAAATAAACAGAAAATAAAAATTTAACTCGACTTGACAAGTAGCTTGATGTGTTCAACCATGATCTTCTAATTGGATTTTTTAAAAAGTAAAGTCCACAATCAAAAGATAATCTATCAATATTAAGGTCAATATATACTAGCGTTTGTAGAAGATGTAATATTGAACATTATAATATCTGAGAGCGACATCTGAATGAACTAAAATTATGTTGTCCTTGACATCAATGGACGAGTAGTAGTCTATGGATTTTAAACATTTGAACGACTAGTTTTGATTGTGATCGCTCTTTTATATTCTCTGGTTTTGTTCAAGTGATTATCAGGTTAGTTATTGAACTAATTTTGATAACTATTTTGAATTTATATATTAAGACAAAAAGAGAACAATGTCATCATCAAGTAATGGAACAATAAGTGTTGATGTATGAATTATTGTTTTTATTTGTTTTTAATTAATTTTATAAAAAAAAAAATTTTGTTTTCAGTCATTAGCCGAAGTATTTCGGTGTTTCATTTGTATGGAAAAATTATGCGATGCTCGTCTTTGTCCACATTGTTCAAAACTTTGTTGTTATCCATGTATTCGAGTACATATTTTGTTTTTATTTTTAACTTGTTAAAATATTTAATTTTACAATAAGTAGAGATGGCTTACTGATCAACATCAACAATGTCCACATTGTCGAGCTACACTTCGTTTACACGATCTTGTTAATTGTCGATGGGCTGAAGAAGTAACTACACAAATTGATAATTTAAAAATTAATGAAATAAGTAAACAAAATCATGAAGAAAAAGATAAGTAAGTTGATAATCTTTGAATTTATTCTTAAAAAAGAACACCATGAAAATCTTACATATTCTTAGATGTGAATTACATAAAGAAACATTGACTGTCTATTGTTCATCATGTTCAAAATGTATTTGTCATCAATGTGCTTTATTTAATGGATCAGTAAGTTAATAAGTCTGAATTGAATTTTGAATGTATTGATAAATAATATTTGTAGCATACAAGTCATCATTTTCTCCCACTGAATGATGTTTATAAAACAAATATATCTATTGTTAATGAACGTCTTGGACAATTAAAACGACATCATGTTGAACTTATTTGTTTAATACAAGATATTGTATGTTTTTCGTATGTTTAAAAACATATTTTCATGTTGTTTTTTTTTTTTATTAAAGGAAAGAAATGTTGAAAATGTTAAAGCAGCAAAAGATGAAAGATTTCGAGAAATACGAAATGTTATGTATGCAATGCAAGCTAAACTTGATGAACAATGTAAAATAAAATTAAATATTCTTAATGGTAAGAGAAGAAAAACAAATCGATTTATGTTGAAGTTTTAAATATGAATGAAGTATTTTAATGTTTGACTGTTCTTTAATTGTTTAGAAAAATAGCTTCTGAAAAATAGAAATCGACTTTTTCTTATCAGGAAAACTTCTAAACTATTTTTGTGTTCGAACTATGTGCATAAGATAGAGCTTAGTCATGTATTAAAAACTTCCAAAGAATAAGAGCGTCTAGACTTTTCTCTTACAGAGTTATAGCTGTTTTACTGAAATTTTGCTCATAGATAGGTCTACTTGTAGCTAGAATGTTTTGAAAATTTCAACTCGAAAGAATAGTCCCTTCAAGACGCAAGGAATTCTGAAAAATTACTCATATTCTATTAAAGTTTAAGAATCTCGTGTGGTTTGAGAATTTAATATTTCAAGAAGGAACCATTGTGTTGAGCTGATCTTTTCAGGACATTCTGATTACAATTAGATCTATAATATTCTCATTTGATTCTTTTGTACACACCGTGTCATAGTCTTAGGATGTAACTAACGAGGCAACTGTTCGAAATGATTCACTAATTTGAGCTCATATTTTGTGTGTAGAGAAGAGATCTATCGGTTGAAATAACCTTAAAAGGAGAGTTGTATCTCATCTTTATAAAACATTCAGATGGGATAATAGCCTTACTAGTTAGATTTCAGAAAAAATGAAATTTCAATACCTTCTAAAACTCTAAAAGCTTATTGACTCCATTACTATGTGATTTTAGATATGCTGCAAGCTACAAAAATTCTAGTGATCTTTTTCGAGAATCTAAACATATCTCGATAATGATGATGTTGTTAAGGTAATTTTATTATAGAACGCATCTCTAAGTTCCTAAAAAACTAAATTGACATCAGTGAGCCACTTCAGTTGATTCTTTTCTTACACAAAATAAGTCAAAATTTACATGCTTTTCTTTAGTTTTTGTACTCTTTTTCTTACAGCTCAACGTATTAAATTGTCATGTGAAAGTGAATTAATTGAAAAATCTCTTCATGATATTGAACATCGTATATCAAACAATGGTAAAGCTGAAGTCATTGATAAGCAACAAGATTTACTTAATACCATCAAGATGATTTGTACAAAATCAGAGACAAGTTTCGTTCCAACATCTATTTCATATGATTTTCCCAGGTAGAATTTACATGTTTTTTGTGACATTAAATTCCCATCCCATAACAACTCATTAGCAACGAGAAAAGACGCTAAGCAGCATTAACAACATGGTTTACACTGTTCTAGGTTATATGATAGATATCAAACATGATGACGATTAATGAATTGATCATATTTTAACTTTCGGAAATAATCAATATCAGTATTTCTAAGCTTTTTAGCCATTCTATAACGTGTTAAGACCTACAATACTATTTAAAAATATAAAACTAACATGTATTTGGTTTTTTCCACAATACCAACTCTTTAACTCAAATGGAAATATTGGTTTGCATAGTCAACAAAGTTCTCTATGAAATGTATTCCAGATTGCAATTTCATAAGTGGACGATGAGAAAAAGATTTTTGGAAAGTCCATCGCGAGGAGCTTTCAGATCCTAGAAGATTTCGTGAGAATTAGTCTTTAAGATTACCTTATTAACAAGCAGAATTTCCTGAAAAAAATGAGTAGTTGTCGCATTTCTTATGATTCTTTCTAACTGCTAATCTCTACATAGTATTCAGTGAGCTAAAAACTATAGTGTTTGATTTTTCAGTAACCTTCATTTCATTGTCTACCTACAAAAAAAATACATTGATCTTATAGTCTTTTTTTTAGTAGTTGATTAATAATAGACAATCATCGTCTATTAGAATTTTTTCACTTTAGTTATTTTGGAGTATTATAATAAAAGTTTTGAAGGCATACGAGTTCCACATTTTCGCTCCGGAGTTGTACTTACAATCTTTTTTTTGTCATATTGATTGACTATTTTTCTAGTGAAGTCATTCCTCAATATAAATCAAGTACATTTATTATAAGAAATTTTTCCATTCTTCAACAAAATCTTGATCCAGTTTATAGTCAATCATTATATGTAAATGGTTTAACATGGCGTTTAAAAGTCTATCCAAATGGTAATGGTACTGTACAAAATACTTATTTATCTGTATTTCTTGAATTAACTAATGGTTTAAATGAATCATCTAAATATGAATATCGTATTGAAATGATTTATCAATTAAATAAAGATTCATCAAAAAATATTATTCGAGAATTTACATCAGATTTTGAAGTTGGAGAAGCTTGGGGCTATAATCGATATTTTTTACTTAATGCATTGATACCCGAAGGCTTTCATGATATAGTTAATGATACATTAATGTTACGTTTTTATGTACGACCACTAACATATCAACAAGAATCTCATGATCAACAATGGTATATTAAATATTTAGAAAATAATAATCAACAATTAAATAATGAAATAAAAACTTTACGTGAAAAAATTCTTTCTCTTACACCAAACAACAATAATAATAAAGAAATATGTTCCACAGAAACAAATCATGAGAATCATGAACAAGAAAATCCAACAGAAACAGCTATTGATATAAATGAAATCGACGATAATGATGATGATGATGATGATGATGATGATGAATATACGTCTATTGAAGTAATGAAATTTTGATTTGATTTTCTTTTTATTTAATTATCAAAATCTTTATAGTCAGATCAAATGAATTCCGATGAAGATGAAAATGTGTAAGTAAGAAATCATTTAAAAACACTATTGTCTTATTGATTAGAAGAAATCTAGAGAAGAATAGCATGAGTGATAATCTGATATGATTTTGTATACTTTAAATGTGTGTTTGCTTTTTCGAAGTCAGTAGATCGACGAAATTCGAATAAATTTAAGTTTGGAGGATATAAGGTAATTTGAAATTTAACAAGTAATTAAACATAAATTTTGAAAATTAACAAAAATAACTAATTATTTATATATCTGATACGCTATAAATAACTATACGATACTGTTTAAGTCTATTTTTTTGCATTCAGATAACATAAGGAAATACTGATCGAAACATAGAGGCAGAACTTCACGAGAGTAATTTGTTGTAAAAGTTTTAAATCTTTTTATTTGCTCCGATTCTGAAACACGCACATAAACTTTGCTGGCTTATATGAACAATTTAAAAGACATGCAATAACTATAGCTCTATATAAGAATAGGAACAGCAACAAGATTTGAAACAAATACAAAAAACCTAGTCTTGTTAAAGCCCATCTTTATCCAATGTTTTAAATCTAAACTCGTAAATCAATTTGCTTAGTGTTGCTAAGGTGGACCACGGCATTCATTTAAAAAATACCGTTACACTGCGGCATATCAGCAGCAATAAGCTAAGAGCAAAACTATTTTCAGAGTATTCAAGACTAATTCGGTTCTACATACTGTACGTAGGCATGTAACCCTAGTTTCTGTAAGGAAGTAGATGAATTGACTTTGGATGTAAAATAAAAATGTTTATGGGTGTGGGTGTGGATACCGATATGAGATGGGTGTGAAGTGTGGGTACTACTGTACACTTTTTTCACAACTACATCTACAACCCACTCACACTTACATGCACACCCACACCCTCATGCTTCGTCAAATAAAAGATAATACAATACAGATTTAGATGTATAAACGAAAGTTTTCCTTATCAATAGAAATCAGAAGAGAATCATTTTGATTGAAATTCCGATACTATCATATCAAATAATGAATGGTGAATAGAAATATGCGAGACCAAAATAATTTAGTCTCGGTTTCGATCTCGACGAAACGATTCCAGAATTTATTCGTATGGCATCTAAAAATATTCTTCAATGTTCGTTTTATTTATCTAGTCAACAACTAGTACTTTTTCGATCATCTCTTTTGAGTCTTGCCCTGACTAATATGATTTATAAGCTAATTCGCTTAAAGATATAAAGTATTTAACTATAATTTTTAGTTTCGCTTGGGACAATTTTTTCTTTCATATTGCTCCATTCAATCTTGACAACTTCGCTTTTTTTATCATCTCAATCTGTAGCTTTCTACTAACATATTTAAATAGATCAATTAATAAAACTTAATACACTGTAACTTATTTTTCTTGATATAGCTTAACTGAAAACGATGTTGAGGAAGTTTCAAGTTCATCATTCAATGATCAATCAACACATTCTGAACAAAATATTCATGAAGCATATTCTTATCGATCAAATGAAGTTCCAACTGCTCGATCAATAGTTTTTGAAGCTGCTAAATCAAATTCAATAACAACAGATCCTTTAACATTAAGTTTACCGACAGATAATATGAGTAATGAGGTTAATAGCATATTAAATACAAGAATATATGAATCAATATCATTCAATGAAACATTACCATTTATAACTGATGGTGATTTAATATTTGCTGATATTTTAGAACATAGTACAGATGATGAACAAAATATAAGTCTACATTCGAATGGTATCTTTTAATTTTTTTTTATCCAATACTTTTTCATTCATTTATTTTGTTTTTTAGATAATCAATTAAACTCTTCTCTTTTTCGTGAAACTAGACATCATAATACAGATCAATCAGCAATTATTTCGAGCACATTTCTATCATATCATCGTCCACGATATCAAACTTCGTCACATAATTTAATTTTACGTAATTCTGAAAATCATCGCTCAAGAATATCAACTGGTCATTATACTCAGGAATAATTTTATGATCAACTTCAATATGAAGGAAGAATGATTAGTTTTCTATTGACTGATGAACTAAAATTCAAAAGTAATAGATAATTCTATATAAATCTCATGGTGATCTGATATTTGCTTCTATTCATATATATTCATTTTGAATATTTAGAAAAGACTATTTGCACTTATGTTTTAATTATTTATTCTTTTATTATATAAAAACACAAAGATTATTTGTCTGATTTTAAGTTTAAAATAAATATCAACGATGTAATACATATCTGTGCTAATTTTTTAGATTTTAACTTTCTTTAAAAAAAAACAGATTTACATTGGTTTTTGCTATATTGTTAATACAATCATATCGTGAATATGAACAATTGTTTGACCTGTTAAGAAAAAAATTCTGTAAACCAAAATCGGAGGGAGACAAAGAGCTGTATGGCCATGTGAAACACGATTTAGCTGCTGACGCTAATCATTGGAATATTGTTTTATTCTATTAATTTTAGGACACATGTTTTCACCATCATTTTGCATAATTCTTCTAAAAATGCAATAAGAACTTAGTTCATGTATTAAAATGAGGCGGTATTGGTATGCTGTCTTTGATTGTATATCAAAGAACGTCCGTCATAAACTATAGACACAAGAAATGCAAATTCCTATTCTATATACTTCAACACTTCCTTCATATCGTGATTTATAAAATATTTTTTGAAAAATCATTAATAGAACATAAGTGAATATCAATTTTTTTAATAACTCATAATCAAGATTATCCTTATCAGTTGAATCAAACACCTTGATCTATCGATAATAAGATGATCGCAGTTTTTTGAAAACTGTTAAAGTTCAAAGAGCCTTCTAAATATGCTTGTTTTACTTGAATCAAACTTTTTTCATTTGCTACTAATGTGACTCTCCTATGACGCATCAAACGCTGATGAATTTGTTCTTATCTAACTCGAGCCATCTTTGATTCTTCTGATTCCTAGATATATCTTATCTAGATTCAAAGGTTTAGAACTAGGTGTAGATGGTAGCTTCTATTTATCCACATGCACATTCGCAATGCGTAGTGAAGAATGTGTCTTTCGTTACGTGTTTATGGAGTTTCTCGTAGACGATCATGATAATAGAACAGGCATGATATTTGATGAATCATAGTTGTTTTAGACACTTGCTATAGAGCGAGAGATCGGTTTGATGTTAGGAAAGTAGTAGATTCTCCGTCTTGCATTCATCACAGCAATTGTATTGTTCTTCATTTATTCAGAGATTTTGTTTATGATCACTGTTGACACATGTGAAGAAGACAGAGATTGAAATTCATCAAATTTTAACTTTATCAGTGGCCATGTGCACTGCATTGCATTCGGTTTCTTCGAGTGGAACCCGGTACACTTAAGACTAATTAAATGTTCGACTTCGATTCATTTTTGTTCATATGTGAGAACCGTATTCCAAGTAAGTTGATTGATCAGCAGTGCACCTCACATCATGCAAAATGCATTCGACGAAAGCGATTTTGCCTTGTAGAAACTCCCTCTGCTACTCGAACTCGGACTAAGCCTCTACGAACAATATGTCAACATTTTTTAAGTGCATTTACCTTTTGATTGTCGACGATCACCATATAGTTCAATAGTGCAGTTCTCAAGGAAACTATAAGTGTTTCAAAAATTGCTTCATCATACGAAAATAGAGTCCGTCTGAAGCAAAATGACAGGTATCAGAATCATATTTTGGCACAATTTGAATGAAACAAATAGTCAAGAGTTTCACCTTAATCATCTGAGAATTTTTTTCAGTCTCCATGTCATAATCGAGCAAAATGCATTGATTTAGAAAAAGAACAACGTTGTAGTGAATATTTGAATTTACTACTCGGTCCATCTATCGATCGTTTCATTTTCTGTAAAGAATGTTAGTGACAATTACAGTTTACCACTCAATGCAAACAGTCTGATTGTCACTCTTTAATATAAGTAAAAGACCAAGACATGTCACATGCCTATAAAATGGGTAGCATTCAAGGCCAGACAATACTCTTTTGTCATACGATGTAAGTTCCACTTGAAGCTGAACGTTATAAATGGCCATTTGAGAAGATTGAATTCGTATGCCAACTTTCACTATATGCGTTCCTCCAAGCAAATATACCGATCAAAAACATGGACACGAAGAAATCATGTTTCCTTAAGTGTCAACATAGTATATGCCGTCATCACGAGAATCTATATTATCGATAACTGGATCCAGCTTCGGAGCTACTGCTTGGCCAGTACCCTGACAACTACCTTGAAACATAATTCAATAGACTGTCGGCTGAGCACAATATAGAGCAAGTTCATGATCAGGAACGTTGGCGAAACTTTTTGAGACGGAATTTTGGGAAAATTCCTGATTGCTTTGATACCAAACATATAAGTAAGGAGCTGAACCGCTCATCAGATCTCTACGTTCTAGGAGAACCGTGACGTTTCATGCGATTGCACAATCCACGAGAATGAAAACAGTGAAAAGTGAAGCATGAACCATTGTACAGAGCATAAGAATATTCATCCACTTTTCGTATAAAAACCAAAATTTATATAGAATATATCAGATGCAATTATTCAATCTTTTTCTTTCTCCAATAAGGAAATACCAATACATCTATCTACTTCGATTTCGTATGCAGAAGAGTAATCCCAGCGTTCTCTTAACTCCAGTGCTGTGGCGAAAGGAATGATTCAGATCTTGCTTGTTTACGTCAAATCTGATTAACGTTTTCGATCAAATATGTAATGTCGGAAATTAATTGATAGAAAAGCTGTAGGTGAATACCGTTCATTCAAAGAGGAATTCATCGAAAACTCATTTTCTCCGCATGTTGATTCGAACACGCTATATGTGAGAGTTTAAGTGTATGCGCTCTGCATTTTTCCATTCTCGTTTCTCACACCCACGCCCTAAGGATGGAATTCCTTCAAACAGAGAAAATACTGATTGTACAGAGCTGTGTCAATTGAACACAGAAGGAAGTCTATTTTGCATTAGTTAAAGAATACTTCTATTTTTTTTAATCAAAAGTCTTCAAATCTTATTGATTAATTCTTTTTTATCGAAAATTTGTCACTGCATATACAAACCACAAATTTTCCTCGTTGAAATGATTAAATGTTGATAACGTAGCTATGTGAAGTGTCATTTTTGCAGCGAGAGACAGCATTGATAAATGTGAAGACGATTTGAAATTGATTCGACTTAGTGTTGTGAATCATCTAAATCGCGCGCTTGTTGAATGAGTCCATTGGGGCCTTTAAGAATTCGAAGGCGGTCAAGAAGCGGAGCACGTCTATGTATAGCATCTACAGCGTTTGCATGCGTTTCAAGCGTTTCAGCAGTTACAAAACACTTTCGTGCGTTTTTTCCATCGTGCAATGTCATGTAACTCTGTCCTAACTTAATGATATCTTTTGACATATCACGAGTGAGATGAACGAGAAGATCAAACTCATGATCGAGAATTTTCATGAAATTCTCATAACCACGATCAAGCGCCCAATTAACTAAGCGTTGAACATAACCACAAAAAATGTAGAAAAAATAAACACGTGGATATTCGGAAACAATCTTTGGAATGATTTCTTCTCCAAGTACGCTCGATGAAATCAAAATAATTCTTTTATTCGTCTCGTACTGAATCAAAGCCAATGCATCTTCAATGGTAGAAACAAATTCGATCGGAGCGACATTTTCCTCAAAATAGCAAATAAGTTCATTGATCTGATTCGGTGGCATAGCGGCAACTGGTTGAATAGCAGATCGAAATTGGTCCTTTAGAGCTTTGTATTGTCCCATTACTCCAATATGTGTGTCCAGCCAGATGATACGAAGACCGTCTCCCAGAACCATCTTCAATAAATCGATGATATTCTACTTATAAAAATAAAATGCCTATTATGTATCATGAAATGGTAGAGCTTTATACACAAAACATATACTTTTCATCGAAACAAGTCGAAGAATTTCGGCGAAATGATATTCTCCTTTACGACAGCTATTAGTCTTTCCGCGAAAAGATCACAACATGAGCGGTTCTCCAAAGTAAATAAAAGACGCAGAAGTATACGCACATTTTCTTTTTTCTTCTTCGATTCTGCAAGTTGCATACAGGCAATGAGAAGTCTTAAGGGATTTTTATGAATAAATTTCTGTGAAACTTTTATTGGCACGATCAGATCTTATTGTATCATCTTGTTTCGAATACTTAAAAATCGGTTCTATAATAAAATTTTCTTGTGCGTCATTCTTGATTTGCAATGATAATTGTAATACAGAAAGAAAGAATTTTTCCTTTTTTTCTTTCTGTGTTTTTTGCATCTGTTCTCTCATTTATTTTACGTAGAACATCATTGAATCGTCTCAACGTGATTGGTAGAATATTTGGTGACGTTTTTTTTAGTTCTATACATCGAAAAACTCATGTTATTAAACATTTGCATAAAACTTTACTATCAGACGCCATAACAGATTTGAGTTAGAACAATGTATTCTTTGTTAGTGTCCAGCATCATATCGATACAGTTCTGCAGAAGACACATCATAACACCTATGTCTATAATCATGGATTAGTTTGGGAAAGCAAAATTCAAATAAAGTTGTCATTACATAGAATTGCCAAAAAACGTTTACTTCAAATATCTTTCTTAAATGAATCTTACAAGTTCTAATCATTTGAATTTAATGCAGAAAACATTACAACGAGAAACGTTATTGTTTCTCTTAACATTCATTACGAAAAAGATGATATTATTGAAGTAACTGTTCAAAGAATCCATAGAACGCACAAAGGCGACTATGCCTTACAGCTAAATTTTTGACCAAATAAGGAGATATACGTAGCCTTATAGAGGAAGACTTCCTCTATAAGGCTACGTATGTCTCCTTATCTGGTCAAAAGGTCATAGTCGCCTTTGACTACCAATGCTAGAATTTTCCATGTTGTATACGTTTATATGTCATGAAAAACA